TTAAGAACAAACATCACATTTGAAGTTCTTTTCTCCAGAATGAACTCTATAATGTACGTCAAGATTTGACTTTCGCATAAATGTTTTAGAACAAACATCACATTTGAAGTTCTTTTCTCCAGTATGAATTCTATAATGTACGTCAAGATTTGACTTTCGCATAAATGTTTTAGAACAAACATCACATTTTAAGTTCTTTCTCCAATATGAATTCTATAATGTAAGTTAAGATAAGACTTACGCGTAGAGGTTTTAGAACAAATATCTCATTTGAAGTTCTTTTCTCCAGTATGAATTCTATCATGTAGGTTAAGATGAGCCTTTCGTGTAAATGTTTTAGAACAAACATTGCATTTGAAGTTCTTTTCTCCAGTATGAATTCTATAATGTTGATTAAGATAAGCCTTTCGTGCAAATGCTTTAGAACAAACATCACATTTGAAGCTCTTCTCTCCAGTATGAATTCTATAATGTAGGTCAAGATAAGCCTTTCGTGCAAATGCTTTAAAACAAACATCACATTTGAAGCTCTTCTCTCCAGTATGAATTCTATAATGTAGGTTAAGATTAGCCTTTCGTGTAAATGTTTCAGAACAAACATCACATTTGAAGTTCCTTTCTCCAGTATGAATTATATAATGTGCATCAAGATTTGACTTTTGCATAAATGTTTTAAAACAAACATCACATTTGAAGTTCTTTTCTCCAGTATGAATTCTATAATGTAGGTTAAGATGAGCCTTTCGTGTAAATGTTTTAGAACAAACATTGCATTTGAAGTTCTTTTCTCCAGTATGAATTCTATAATGTAAGATAAGACAGGAATTTTGCGTAAATCTTTTTAAACAAACATCACAATTGAAGTTTTTCTCTCCAGTATGAATTCTATAATGCTCGTCAAGCGAAGATTTTCGAGCAAATGTTTTAGAACAAACATCACATTTGAAATTCTTTTCTCGAGTATGAATTCTGTAATGTAAGTTAAGAGTGTTTTTGTGCGTAAATGTTTTTGAACAAACATCACATTTGAAGTTCTTTTCTCCAGTATGAATTCTGTAATGTTGGTTAAGACTAGACTTTAGTGCAAATGCTTTGAAACAAACATCACATTTGAAATTCTTTTCTCCAGTATGAATTCTTTGATGGTCCACGAGTACAGACTTCCATTTGCACACTCTATAGCATATATCACAAATATGTTTTCCTTTGTGGGCATTTTCTAGTCTTTGAAAATCACTTGTAATAATCTTACTACTAGAGGTATCATCTTTTACAGAATGAGCAGAGTTATTTATCATACCTTTGGCATTATCTACCCTACACGCACCATCGTTTGTCATACCTTTGGCATTATCTACCCTACACGCACCATCGTTTGTCATACTTTTGGCATTATTCATCCCACCATCACTATTACTTTTGGCATCAGTAATTACAGCATCAGCATTGTCTATTGTACTTCTGGCATCATTAATCTCACCATTGGCATTACTGACCTTATTACCACGTTCCATGATGTTCCCAACAGTAAAAGTAAAATCTAAATGTTGGCTTCCTTAGTTAAGTATGAATTAGTTAACTTGGATAATGTGTCTCATACACTCTGATGTCACTGTATCAGACAGTTTGATGTCACTGTATCAGACAGTTTGATGTCACTGTATCAGACGGTTTGATGTCCAAATCATCGTTTTTGTTTAAAATCTAATTTGTTTCAAAAAAGTTTGTTTCTCCAATCTAGGGTGGAGATTTTTTCTTCATCCTAGTTTTAGATTCAATATTTACCTGCACTCATTGGATAATATTAGTATCTTACTCCTGCACTGTTTAAATCATATGTTTGGTTCGAATAATGTAGCTCTGTAAATGTTACAGTTTATTTTACACCAATTGTTAGTCTTCTTGGTATATAGATAAGCTCAAGATAACGATAAGGATGACTCTGTGTACACAATACACAATAAGTACACACTTTATTTGAGAAGGCTTAACACCTAGTGTGGGTCATCATTCCCTATTATTAGTCGATTTGTTTACATTAATACGGAATAAAATTGACCAATTTATGATAAATGGTGACTTTATCCTCTGGAAACGTAGATTATGTTTCACAATAAGTTCTGAGGGCGATAGTGTATAGCACTTCTAGGGAATCGACTATTTTCTAGATAGATAAATAAATAGATGGCACCATTATATGTTGGCAGGCCAGAATACATGGAAACCTATAGGCTAGCAAGAGTCACTTGATTCATCAAGTATTTCAATTTGGATTAACATAAATCACCATTAGAATCTAATTATTTGATCTTGTTAACATGATGACTGTGATTTCACATTAATATTGTGATCCTAGTTTGAGTAAATGAACTTTTAAAGTTATTTTTAAAATTATATCAATGGTGATTTTGGCCCATCTTTTTTCAGAAAACTTGAAAATCTTTAAAACATGAATAACTGTAAATAACTGTGCAAATCAATTTTTTAAATAAGATTACACAGCGAATTGAAATATGCCATCGAATAGAAGAAAATGTTGGTCGTTCAGTGCTAGAAATGCAAATCACTTAAAATCTCATCAAATACGAGATTTCAATCTATTTGGAAAACCCTGAATTGGGATTGTACTTTCTATAGACAACAAATATACATATCCGTGAACAGAAGAGTGAAATGGCCTTAGGGTCTCAACCTTCTTTGTTTATATTCGCAAAAACGTGAAAAAATTAGAAAGTTATAAGTTTTTGAAACTCAAATGTGTTATATCTCTCTAAATTGTTATATCTCTAAATGAACGGAAAACAGTTTTAAATATGCGATGCAAATCCACGTACACTATGATTAGTGAGCGGACCTAATTTCAAGGGTGATGGTAAAGACGAAGCATGGCGCCCAAAAACCAAAGAATATTAGTTCCATAATCTTTTAAGTCGTATTATTGCAGCATTAGGTGATGATATTGTGATATTTTATGCTGTTTTAGAAGTGAAAGATGTTAAACTATGCATACCGTTTGTTTTACATCCAATAAAACGAATAGTTAAGATGAAACAGTCGTTTAAAGATACAATTTGAATTTACCGCAAGAAATTACAACCTAATATTGTCAATATGTCAATAATTCCTGATCGATGTCACATATAAAGATATATGTACCTAGATATGTTTTATTTTTTCATATATGCGAAATAAGGCGGTCTCTTGTTATGTACATCCAATACAAAATGAATGTTTACTATTCGGCGATCAGAATTTCGATGACGAGCAATGGCGATGTAATTTGCGAAGAGGAGTGGCTATGGGCAAGCACTTAGCTGCTACGTGAACTGCTAAATTCAGCTAAAATGTACACTGTCAATTAATAAATTAATGAATTTGGGCAAGGTTGTCATAGGCTTCAATCAATGGTAAAAACTTGCAAAACATGTAGTCACTTGATTTTATGATTTATCAAAAAGTGTTGGTTGTTGAACGAATAAATAGAATAACTTAAAAGAATTTTAAAATTGTACAAATGGTAACTGGCCCACAATTTTTTAACAAATGTTGACAAAGTCATAAAAAATCAGACGCATGACAGATGTAGTCAGAGATTGTTGATGTCAAAGGTTGTTAACATGGCAGGTGTATTCAGAAATTGTTAACATAATAAATGAAGTCAGACTTTATTTACATGACAAGTGTAGTCAGAGGCTGTTAACATGGCAGATAGAGTCAGAGATTGTTAACATGACAGATGTAGTCAGAACAGCCTTAGTTGGAACAATAAAGTTGGATATACCACCATCGTTGACCCCATTCATATATCTCAGGAATTTACCCTTGAAAAGGCGGTAACCAATCCTCCAGAAGCGTATTGTGTATGTATGTATATATTTATTGCCCTTTATATAAAGGAGATACATGTATACAAATTATGTAAATGTTAAATTGAAACTAATCACTATTTACAAACAAACAATATGACTGACGACGACGCCTAGCTACCGCGTAGACGCACGCCGCCGACCAAGATTGGCCTAGCACCTAATTGTAACGCAATTATAAAAAAATGACTATATTTTAATTCATTGTTTTGTTGTTGTTTTTTGTACTGACGACGACGCCTAGCTACCGCGTAGACGCACGCCGTAGGCCTAGATAGACCTGTTACCTAACACTCTTAAGATTAATAAAAAAAAATGACATTATGGATCTGCGTTTTCTATAAAAATTAAACGGAAGACATAGCGTATCATCGTACCTTCCCCAAGGTCGGTACTGCAGTACTGTATGAAAGTATGAGATGCTTTCAATATCTTGTAAGCTAGTAAAAGAAATATACAATTTTTGTAAATTGAAGAAAGGTGGTGTTGCCCTATGGTGCAATTCTAAATTAGTGTGTATAATAAATGTACATAAATATAAATACAAATATGCGAGTAAAACTAAAATGTATAGGCTGGTTAAGAGATATAATCGTTTGTTGCAAATACGTCAGGCTGCCGCGTTGACGTTGCAACTACCAATCAAGGAAAAAACAAAAAAAAACAAAAAAAAACAAAACATAAAGCATTGCTTATTATTGTACCTTCCCCAAGGTCGGTACACTCAGAATAAATACATATTGCATATTACCGTTAATCAAGGGAAAATCCCTAGTCGGCCCATGTTCGTCCCTTGAGGGCCACCCTTTCACGCTGATAAAGTTACATTAAGTTTGTAAACTTGTCAAGTGACGTTGACGACACAAATATTGTTGCATAACTATATGTGCCATATCTTTTAAAAATACAAGTAGTTGTTCGTTTGCAAAGTGCAACTCTTCAATTCCTATGCCAAGAATGTTTTTAGTGTTCATTTGGATACCCCATTCGCAGCAATGATTACTAAGTTGTTCTCTATAAATAATATATATATTTGCTGGGCATTTCAGTAAGAAATGCTCTACGTCTTCTTTTTCATAAGTGCTGCACATTGAGCATATAACTGATTTATCTTCGGAACCTCTGTATTGTATCGGGGAATCTATAACGAAATTGTGTGCTAGCACCGCACCCCATCCATTAAACAACATCCAGAAAACATCTATAGGCGATGTTGTCTAACGGGAACGCGTCAGTTGTGATTAGGTGAAAGAATTGACGTGTAGTTGTCAAAGATCCATCATCTGACAGTCTATTGATGACTTGAGGCATCATGTTAGCAAATTCTCTTAACAACTCGTCGTTGTTTTCATTTGTAGCTGCATCATTATTGCTATTGTTATCATTAGATGTCATATTTATACTATCACTCATTTCGTTTCTATTTTCTATTTCATTGTCATTGTCCATTTCATTACATTCAATTTCATTGTTTATTTCATTGTTAAATGTTGCATTGTGCTTAACTGGTGCAGTGTCAACTAATTTAGAGCATTTCGAGACATGAGAATCACTTGAGGATTGTGTTATAGAAATTGTCATTGACTCCTTGTCTTGTACCACAATCCTCTTGCCACTTGCTTTAATTTCTTCAGGAACCACATGAGAAAAATTTATTGTAATTAATTTTATTATTCCGTTGACATTAACGATTTTCGAATTTTCATTTCATTTGTAGGGTGTTTATTGATCAGGTGGTGTATTATTTCATCAAAATCTTTTGATTTTCCGTGACAGTAGTAACACTGGAATCCCACAAATAAACAAATAAACAGGATAAATGTAATCCCCATTCCACGGCTCGTCCAAACATGCTTTTATTACCATAACCATTGCTCTTCCTTCCGAGGAATCAAAATCTCCTGATTTGAATGCAATTACGGCTCAAATTGGGTAAATGGATGGGTTTACGATATAAATACGTTCATCAACAATAATTACATGCAATATCAAGGAATTCTATGCAGGAGAAGTATCATTATTTTGAAAATAATCGAAAAAAAAATATGCAGAAAATTAATTTTTCTTTTCACATCACTTCGTATCCGTTTCACATATAAGTATGAATCTTTCTTACATTACAAATCTAATTATGGGCATCTGAAGCATCAGTACACCTAGTTACAGGCCAGCACAAGGCCAATAAAGAGTAGAACTTAGAGAAATAAACTTACTGCTGGTCCGCCATAGTTAGGTTTGGGCGCCCTGCCTCGTCTCTACCATCACCCTTGAAATTAGGTCCGCTCACTAAGCATAGGGTGTAATACGAACTTGAACTCATTGAGATGACCAATTCCGCATTAACACGTGGACTTGCATCCTGTACATGTAGGACTAAAACAATACCCGTCGTCGACAGGTGAAGTTTGAGACTAAGCAATGCACATAAAATCAAAACTTCAACCTGTACGCACAAGTTACACTATACAAATTCATGTAGTTTTCCCACATAAATAATCGTTCAGTTAGTGTTTTCTTATTATAATGATTCCCGTTGACACCAACGCGAAATTCATTGGCTTTGCGTTCACGGTTCCGTTGTGAAAAAAATGGCTAGCTTAAAATCTCTATTGATTAAGATAATTGGAGTTTCAAAATGTTATGACAACTTTTCTCATTTTTCACATTTTTGCGAATGTAAAAATGGAGGTTTTTATCATACTAAGAAATATATATGTATATTCCATGTACAATAACCATGCAATTGATACTAATTCTACAAGGATATCTTGAACTTATAATATTACAATCAGTATGATAAGGGGAAAGGCGTTTTTAAGTCCATACAGTGAACACTGTCTGATCCAAACGCCATTGGGACAGACTAAGTATTCGAATTTGCAGGTTTTCCCAATTCAAAGTTTTTAACATTATACTCTAGATAGATACTCATCCATTTCAGATTTTTGTAAAGGATAACAGGTGGATCATATTTGAACCACCATTATCCTATCATTCTTCCACCCCACCCACGGTACCTGTTACCATTCAGAAAAATAAAAGGACCTGGTGGAGAATTAGCACGTTTTTGTCACGTTCAATACATCTATTGTATATAGATCTATATAGAGAAACAGAGACAGAGACATCAAAAAGTGAATTACAATTTTTTTAGTGTTCACTGTATTCCATAAAAGTAGGTACACACGATGTTCGTTTTTTTCATTCGAGATTCTCACAGTCTTAATACAAACAGAGACATTTAATTATTTAATTGCATCTTTTTCACGATTCAATTTTGTTATCTCATTTCATCCACTGTGGCACTACATGTATAACATACTACAGTAGTGTTCCTTCTGATCGGTGCTATAAAACAGTACACATCACATCATTCCAATATTCAATTTTGGATTTCATCCAATTTGCGCTGGGTTTATGCAATTTGAGTAGCTACAGCAATCTTTATTCTCTTCAGGGAGTGCCCTTTCCGATTGTTAGAATTACAATTTAGGTTCTTAAAAAGAGAGCTTCATTGACACTCTTTAAGTTGTATGAAGATAATCATTTTATCATGTTATAACAATGGTCGACAAAATTTCAGCTACCCTATCGATAGCATTTACTGAATTTATGCTTTGAGTACCTGACATTAATTACATAATGAAACGCGCATTAAAGGCCTTAACAGCTACTTTTTGATCAAATCTTACCAGCATCAAAACTGAAATTTATTTATCTTATTCAGAGCCTAATGTACGCACTGACACTCAGGAGTCAGGGTAGGCAAAGGCTATTTGTATTATTACCGAATGGAGGCGAAACGTTCTTGTCAAGATGCGAAAACAAATCTATTGGAAGGGAAACGATGTAAGCAGCCTTTGTTCTATCTCAACATTGTGACAGACAATGGCTAATCACATCATAGGAGATTTATTGTTTTCCCTGAACCTAATACACCGCTCTCTGGATTGCATCCAGGGTTATATCGAAAAGGCTTTCTCAATTAGTTATTTATCGACTATTCTTTCTCTGTTTAACACAGTGTAACTTCATATCTGCTTGTGTCGGAATCATACACTTAATAACTAGGCCGTCGTCTAAGAGATGCGTTTTAGCATCATCTGGCTTGTGGATCGTAATTAAATGACACAAATGGATCGAGCAACATAGGAATCGGAGAACTAGTCATATGTCATTTTCTACTCAACAACAACAAAGATGAAAGCAATCTGACTGTGCCAAAGAAATGACACTGACAAAGAACATGTCACAATGAATCTCTTTAAAAGCTTCATGTCATAATGAATGCACTGAATGTGACGCGGCGGATGTTGCATCCTCAATGACAACGAAGAATCAAACAAAACAATCAGAAATAACAGGGATAAAACCCAGGGGACAACTAAACCCAACGAAGTTGAATAATATAAAACTGGATGTGATACAAAGACAAAAGGTAATGTTACATCCGAAGAAAAAGCGATTCTTAGTTATACTCCTGATGATAGTTGTCGTTGAAGTGATATTTCTTGTGTGGGTGGCAAAACTGGAACATAAATCGTTCTTGCCACGAGTTAAACGTCTTCGAATGATAGCTGCTGAACAGAATATTGTGGATAGAGAAATAGAAACATTCAAACATTATTAGATTATCATTCACAAGTGGATCGGCGATAATCAGAGTATTTTCGAAAATTTTAGAAAGTCCATTGCTGCTTTTTATTAACTAATAAGCATCCATTTTTGACTTTCAACTTCTAGAATATCATTGTTGCAGTGTCACGATGCCTTCGAAGTTCAAAAACACGTTAAAACACACTGGCCACAATTTCCAACACTCATACTCGAACAATATCTGCACGCCTACATCATTACATCGACACGATTTCCGTGCACCTGGGACGCGCGACTTGCAACACAAGATCCTTGATAAAAGAAGTCCTAAGGTTGAGAAGCCAAATATAATCTGGGGAGATGACATACCGGAAAGAAGGACCTCGTACAACATTCACCATTGTGATCCTGCAATACAAAGTGGAATACGATCGAGTCGGGCCCCACCACCATTAGGCGCAGAGGTGAGTAGCAGACAGACCTGATTGGAATGAACTAGTATCAACAGCTGACATTAACCTTGAAGTTCTTATTTGATACGTAAAGGTTGTGTACTTGGAGGTTATGGATACAGGTTTTATAGCCTTTTATCCCGAGGGAAATATTTGTATTTCTCGAGGAACATGTGAAAGTTTTATATTAAATTTTTAGAACCAATAATGTATTAAAAAATCATTTGAAAATTGTGGAGCGTGACCGGGATCGTTGGCGATAGCGGGATAGATACAGAAAATATCCATTCCGCTCCCCAGAGTTATATATTCATGCACGTCATGTACCTAGAACCGCAGTAGGCATGGGATTACCTAAAGAAGTTTAATAGATATACTATCTATGCCTTTGATTACGCAAAAGATTATTCTAAATTATCTAACCATCCTAATTTTATCAGATATGATTATACTCATGCAGGAAAACGTTGTATATATCACAACCTATTCCAGTCTGAGATCGATAAAACATTCCATATTGTATTCTAGCCACAAGAATCCGTCTGAGAGAAAATCGAATTAGAAGTTATTGCATTTACTCAGGCTCTGCTGTAATTCTGGTATTCCCTTTGGAATTGAATATCAATACATACGGCCAATGTTTATTATTCAGTTTAAAGCGACAATAGAATCTACATCGATTTTCTTGGGTGAACGCGTTGCAAAATACCAATTGCACCCAAAACGGCTAAAACGCAATCGGCGGGAATTTGTTTTTTGCAATTCGTTATCTGTCTCCCGCATGTGAATATTGCATGAGGCGTTTATATAACATGATCTAGTTGCCCATTAAAATAAAGCTTGATGTAATCCTGGGCGGTGGGGCTCATATTTTTGAAGGGCAGGGGTGGCCTCGCCTTTTTGGACAGATAATTCAAACGGTTCTTAAAAAAACACAGTTGAAACAGACTCACTTTACCTTTTATAACGCGCCTGTCTGTTCTCATTGCAGATTCTTCCTCCACAGAACAGCCATCCTACTGGACACGTAGCTCATTGTACAATGCGGGCGGAGTACCCTTATCTGGGCCATGAGGTGTCACAGCAAATATTTACAGATAGGAGAAAGGATCTTCAACTCATCAAAAAAGTACAAACGACAGACTCAGTCCACGCGAGTCAGGTGTGTTTTATTGTTTTAAATATATATATATAACCCAGTCCAAAAATTTGGCAATATGAATTGCTTCGGGATTTCCATCGACTTGGACTTCTTGAGATTCCATAAAATTGAGGTATCACCGTGTTTCATGGTAATTTGTTTTATGGAAAGGGAGTGCCAAGAATATATGATAACTTTTTAATGGATGGATTAATATCATTTTTTGCCGCAGGATGCATTAAATATACAATTGATCCAAAAACATGATTATATCTATAATAGTATTTAATAAGCCTCCTAGAGAAACTTTCTGTTCCAATAATATGGAAATCAATGAGACATTTAAAATACGGTGTCGAAAAAGCTTACTTTTCTGGATATTAAATTTTGGAAGATCACTTGTTATTTTTACGCTATCTTTACCCACCAGCCGAACGCAACAGGGCTCCAAACATCGTCACTATGTTGCTTCCTCCATAGAACATAGTGGATGTCTGGACCTCTGCGTTCGGAGAATGTCTATACTCCCGGCCTACATTGTACATAATATCTTCATTTTAGCAAGGTGCAAAGCGAAAGATGATGAGCCGTGTGATGATCGATTATACTGTTCCAGCGGACAGAGTGAAGGGGGACAACATCAAGGCAAAGATGGTTCAAACGATATCGCCATACGTAAGAGAAGACAGCATTTGGAACAGGTAACAAATGATGGTTACTAAAAGTAACAACGAAAATCCTGCTTGATGGTGCAAATTGATGGCTTTTATTTTTTAAAAAAAACAGGGGGTATTCGAGGTTAGAAATACATGTAGGCACCGAGATAGACGTCCTTGGCCATTTTATGAAATAACTTATACTTTAACCGATTACATTTTGTATAAACGCAAACTGGGCTTCGGAAAACATCCGTCTTTTCTCATTAAAACAGATGTTTTAATAACAAATGATTTTGAAGTGTTTCAAAGACACAAATCCTTGTTTCTAACTTTTTGTCAAAATGCTTCCGTAAAAAGCAATTAAGCACTGCTGCATTACAGGCACCATTATTTTGCTTTCAGCATTGGAGGACGTCTCGGTGAGGGAAAGCGGCTCAATTACAAGACAATACAGACACTAAACTATATATGGCCTCCACAAAGAGGCACAAAGGCCAACAGATATGAAATGGTGAAAGTAAGATAGGATAGGATAGGATCGTTGGAACCGAGTGTAATACTCTCATACACTCCCCTCCATAAGTTTGACAACTAGAAGCCCCCTTTTAAGTGACCTATCAAAGCCTGCTTATACTTGGCGATTTAAAAAATTCATCAGATTTGTAATAAATTTCCATTTTTGTTATTCAGGAACAAAATTAAGATTCAAATATCAAATGTTTTTTCTATGAATAAAAAAAGGAATAAAAAAACAGATTCAAATATCATCAACAGGCTTCGATATGTTATACTAATGGAGGTGAGTGTACGTATTTGGCAGTTATACACAATGAAAAATAACAACCACCTCTGGGCAAAATTATTCAGAAGAACTAGCCAGTAATGAAATATCCCCTACATAATCACTCATATACATTTTTTTGTACACAGGGTATTGAAACATAAATTAAAGGGAATGCAAAACTTGATACTGGAAATAATGTATGTACATTGAGCAGTATAAATTGAATATTGTTATCAGTTTTATAAACATGTTGTTATCTTATTTGTTTTTTTTGTTAATTTATACACTTTTAGAATAAAATTTAAAATGAATAACTCAGTTTTTGTTTCTTAATGGATGGATATCAGTTATCAGTGATATTAGAGTGGTTAGGCTATACACTTTTAACATGTTTAAGAGAGCTTGTTCGTGAACATGTAATATTATAATTGACTCAAATGGAATACTTTCCCCCTCTCCAATTGTTCTCCCAGGGACTTAATTTTAACTATTTGCTTTATACTCAGCTGAGCAAATACATAACTAGGAAAGGGACACATTCATGTAGAAGTTCCAAACATAGCTGGACTTCATTAATGTCTTGGTCAAACCTCGTCAATTGATTTGGTATTTTATTTGAGAGTTTCAAAAACATATAATCTAAAAACATCATTTACATCCATTGGACGTGTTGGATTATCCTTCTATAAAATTGATAATTATAGCAACATTTGTGAAATATGATAATTTTGGGAAGGATTTCTAATTAGATAAAATAAATTAAAATCAAGTATGATATAGTCAATGGTTCTGGAATTTCTTGCTAACACAGTATTTTGATCTGCATATTACTAACAGTTTTATGAAAGATATTCAATTCACAACCATGGGATAAATGTTTATTCTATGAATACTTCATTTTCCCAGCAAAACAATAAAGGAATATAAATCACATTGAACCACATAAAAGTAGAAAAAATATTGCCAAAATGTTGCCAAAAAACATATTAATTGAATATGGGTAATAACGTACATGTATCACTCTATTCCATAGAAAGAAAGTCAAATATTTTATGTATTGCATATATTTCTATCTTATACAAATCATAGTAGTATATATTATACAAATGTACAAATAACATGGATGGATACATATTCTTGTATCATCTCCGATACAAGTACAGTAAAACCTGCCTATGGTGAACACTGCTTTGACCAGCTAAAATCATTCATATCTTGAACATTTTGAAAATATAGGATCAATGGAGCATGCAAAAATAGAGTGGAAAATATCCATAAGGCTGTCTCCTCAAGAAGAGGTGTTCAAATACATAGGTTTTACTGTAAATAAATTCCCTCATACAGTTATGCATTAAGAATCTTGCATACACCAATTCTCACATAATTGGAAGAATGAACTTTATGGAATGAGCTGACAGGTAATCCAAAGAACCTAAGCAATAAGTCATTGCAACAACTTAAGAATTCAAATATACTTTTGAAATCAATTGAGAAAGAAAATCATCAAAATTGGTATATGTTGTCTAGTGGATGGCAGTTTTGGTTGGAATGGGTTAAAAAATCCAGGTGAGAAAAAATGATGTTGATAAAATAAAAACCTTTAAATTTTTTTTTTCTTTCCTATCCTTGATTTTTTGTTCATGTATTGATGATATTGCAATGATACCAATGGATCTCCAGTCTCTATATAATAAATAAAAAAATGAAAATGCGTTGCCGTGACAAAATGTCACCAACTAGTTATTGCAATTGGTTACAACAGTGTAACAATTTGCTACAAACACAGAATACCGACGACTGTATACCAACTGGCGAATGCTGGTCAAAAATATCATATTTTGCTTTAACAATATATCATCACTTCTTGCTGGTGACATCAAAATTGCAATTGCTCCGATAATATTCCAATTGTCCTATGCAATTCCCCTTGGTATTATGAAAGACAGTCTGTCTGCAGTTTCACCCCATTCAGCCCTGTGTAACTGGAACACCACAACCCACGCAATGAAAGCGCCAGTGCATATTAATGTACCAATCCCTGATCGTATAACATCTGCAAATTCAAGGGAAAGATTCATAATATAAGATTCATAATAATTTTAAAAAAGCGGACATCCAAATTTTCAGAAATGATTACTACAAAATCTTAAACATCAAAGCACTGTCATGAAATAAAGTAAGAACTTTCAGATATTAAGAACATATACATGACACATACTATGAGCAAAAAATAATATAAATGTGTCAATTCTTCTAATAGTTAAACCAAGCTCAGTCTCTAAACTCTATTGCCTCTTGAAGATGACATGAACATCAAAAGGGCTCTTGGCCTGTTGGCAAAACTGAACATAGAGCCAAAATGTGGATAAAAAATCTTTTATTTTGGCTGAATGCAAGGGCAAACTTACATGTGCGTATTTGTTTCTGTTGTTGATATGGTTCATTGATAAATGCTTCCTTGAAGAACCATAACGTATTCACAAGCCAGAGGAATGGGAGCAGGGCAAAGCCACCTACAACATTAACAAATTGAATATAAATATAAATAAGATACACAAAATGGACATAAGTGTACATAAGACAGACCTGATGATCAATATTGAGAAAATGTCCTCTCACAATCTGAAACTTATTTAATACAAAATTCATCTGCTGTGTTTGAAATCATTCAAGGTTGTAAAGCTTCATCTGCTAGCCCTAGTCATTGATAACCTGGCAGTAGTATATGGCGAGTATTTCGACCTACAACCTGCACCTGCACCGTACACCATGGTGTACCGGAAGTGGTGCAGATCACGTGGTAAGATGATGCACCGGAAGTGGAAGTGACGTCATAGGTCACATGGTTACTGATATAACTGGTCAAAGGTTACTGATAATTGATAAGAGAGAGATAATAAACTGATAAGACAGTGGTAAAGATAACTACCATGGTTTCTGATATAACTGAACAAAGGTTACTGATAATTGATAAAAGAACATAGGTTTGAGTTATATGCCCAATGCATAGAAATGATGTCATAGGTCACATGGTTACTGATATAACTGGTTAAAGGTTACTGATAACTGATAAGAGAGAGCTCAATTGATAAGATAATCAAACAAACACTGTTAAGGTAACCTGGTGACTATGTGATAAGCTATCTTGTCTACTTCATGGATGTTTCATTGTTATAGGTCAAAGGTGGATAACAAACTGATAAAACACTAAAAAAGATAACTGCAGAACCATTTCAACCAAACAGGTTTTAACTTGCAGAATTATTTTAACCAATCAGAGTACAGTATGTTTTAACCAATCAGGTTTCGAGATGCAAAATCATTTTAACCAATCAGGAAACAATATGTTTGGATCATTTTAAACAATCGAGATGCAGTATATTCTCATCCAATCAGATATAAGAAAATCACCCAATAGCAGCATTTTTTGCATCATTTAACCAGTTCAGACTGGTATTGAAGTTTTATAACCAACAAGTCTTCTGACGTTTTTCCACCAAACAGTCACTTGATGATCTTACTCCCGAGTCATTTTAGAGGATTTTTCACGCTTGAAAGATTTCGGGGAATTTCTAGAGTTTGAGACATTTTTTCACCAAACGGTCACTTGATTCTTACTCCCGAGTCATTTTAGAGCATTTTTCCAATCTTCACGCTTGAGTGATTTCTGGGAATTTAAAAGACATTTTTTCACCAAACGATCACTTGATTCTTACTCTCAAGACATTTTAGAGCATTTTTCCAATCTTCACGCTTGAGTGATTTCGGTTATGGTTGACTGATTCTTTCTTATTTTTGGAGTTTTAGGTATTTTTTAGGCACAAACTTTCTTTGGCATGTGTTATTTTACGTGCCACTGATAAGAATATGGACCCTCACAAGATAAAATGGTACATAAACACTTTTGATTATCAAATTCTTGAGCATCTGTTAACTTAACACGTGTTTTATCAAACATTGATAACAGCAGAACAATTTCGACCAATCACAGAGGATATGCACAGGATTTGCAGAACATTTTGCTATCTGTTATGTCATAGGTCAAAGGTAGATAAACTGATAAGATAACTGCAGAACCATTTCATCCAATCAGGTTTGGATTAATTTAACCAATCAGACTTTGACTTGTAGAATTTTATTAACCAATCAGAGTACAGTATATTTTAACCAATCAGGTTTTGAGATGCAGGATCATTTTAACCAATAAGGGGACAGTATGTTTGGATTATTTTAACCAATTATGTTTGAAGTTTCAGAATAATTTTAACAAATCGAGATGCAGTATATTCTCATCCAATCAAATATAAGAAAATCACCCAATAGAGCTATGAGAATTTCTGCACAATTTAATCAGTTCAGACTGGTATTGAAGTTTTATAACCAAAAAGTTATTTTAGAATATTTTTTTAAATTGTCACTGTTGATCAATTTCTGCTATTTTTTTCACCAAATGGTCCGTTGCTTCTTACTCCTGAGTCGTCTTAGAATATTTTTATACTACTCCTGGCGCCTACAAACTGGATATCTCATTTCGTAAATGAAGAAATCATATGATAAGGGAAAATCTACAGAAAACAAATGCAATAACAGGACTAGTTTTCATTTTAGTTCAACGTAACATAGTGTTTGAAAGCTCTATCAACACGTGATTCAGATTATAACTATCCACATGAATAATATTTTTAATGTTACACTACAGGATGTAGAATATTAGGGCAAAATTAATTTTTTATAGAGAAAAGAATATTTCTGGATTGACTATGCTAAGGAAATACGAGCACCCATAAGTCACAAAAGGTGGGAGGGGTTAAGTTAATCTCATTTCCCAAATTATATGGCTGCAAATCTACCAAATCAGCACCAAATGACGAATCATATTACAGAATATATTCCTTTACTTACCTAAGTAGTATTTCCTACATAGGTTCAGCTTATCTTCATTTTTCATCTTTCTGAGATCCATGTTCTGTAAGAAGTATAATGAAACATATTAGAAACATATTTAAAACTTATAATTGTACATGAAACCTGAGCTTGTAAGCTTTACATTGGCTTGATTGTTTTACAGAAAGGATATCAATTGATACCAGGTCATTCTTGAAAGCCCATGGTCATTGGTCATACTGATATTTTGTATTTTAACATGGTTCTAGGTCTTGCTCATTGATTGAACAACAACAACTAAATAGTAAATTGATTCATCAAAATTAGGGTAGTGTACAAGACGAATGGCTCAGTGTAATAGACATGTGACAAGTTATTATCAAATGTTAAACATCTTACATTAATACATTTAATAACGGAGGTCCAACTATACATGAAAAAACGTTTATTTAAATTTTAGACCTACCAGATGTTTGTAAATCAAGGATTACATTATTCTGTTTGGGTCCCCAGCTGTGAGAAGTGGCCCTCACAGATGTGGCTAAAAGGAGGGCCTCTGTATAACAGAATAATGTACCAACAAAAAGGCTTTTGTTTTACTTTGAATGGAACAAATTTGAAGAAAAACGGTGTGGTATGAGACTCACTATTCTTGATTTTCAAACATCTGGTAGGTTTTCAACAAGAAACAGCGCTGCAAGCGCACATACACCGCTTAATTTTGCTGTGTCAAACTTGTCATTACACCCCCGCTACCTTGTCGATGATGCACCACAAAAAAATTATGAATGTGAGTGTAAGTGCGTTTGGATGAACTTTTTTTGTTGAAAACATGTGACCATGTAAGTTACACAGCATGGCTTATTGATCTTTTTCGTGATACCCAGGGAGAAATCTCATTAACTAGATTAGTACGCAAGTGACTTGTGCCGTGGGCAAAAATGCAGCCTAAGTGAAAAAGTAAATAAGTGTCAGTAAATCAGTAATCAGTAACATTAAGTACAAAGAGACTAATCTAACAGCATGAAAGTGCTTAAACAAAGAAAGAATTGTTCATTAACGGATCAAGAGCATTTACATGTATATTGCTTCCTCACTTCAATTATTGAAGCTGAATACTGAGAATTCACTAGGTCAGATACAAGAATTGATATGAAATTAGTTACTAAGATGTTGCACAGGGAGTACATGTAAGTCACCCACCCCCAACATTCTATAATTCTGTAATGACCCTTGGGCACTCTCGTCGGGGAGCTATAGTGTACCGAGCCAGATACTAGACTCAAAAGAGATTATGCTAAATTCAATGCCCCATACAGGAATCGAAGGAAGTGATGTCGGTGTCATTATTAGGATAAAAGCTTGTTCTTGTAAGAGGGCCTTAGTTTACCAAAACGACATTAACCCTGCCTGGGTGCTTTAATTACAGAAGGTGATGGTTAATAAATATAGTGTAATGGAAGTGCGACTCCTCTGGCAACATCTAGGTTTAGTTAACACCTTCTAAGACAAAACATCAGAAAGGATAACATAAAAAACAAAAAAAAATGAAATTGAAAATGATTCAAAATTATTGAAAAATGAAATCGAATATTTTGGGCGATTTTTAAAGATAAGATAAGCACCGGCTTGTAGGCTGGTGTAGCCTTTTGCCTGAAGAGTTTAGAATAAAAATACGAAGAGAATCAAGCCACCATTTCCACCCAATGTGTAAATATTGCTACTAAGAAATAACAATACTATACTTACCAATACTTTAATGATATATTCTATATGTTATAAATAAAATAATCCAAATTTTTTATCATTTTTATTCAGGAAGTGAGCTCATATGTGTACTACGTCATCAATCTGTGTGTTGATTGGACGAAGGAGAAATGCATGTAAATGTGAGTAGCATGCTTTAATTTCTGTCATTATTTCGCTTATCTATTGTGTGTTGTGTAATGAACTATGGTTCAGAAGTAAATGAAAATAACGGAGTATTGGACAGAGATGTTGTTTTTGGTAATGTGATTTATGAACCCATGCAGTTGCTGAAATTCAATTGAAATTTGAAAGGCAAATCAGAGGAAAAATTCAAATCTGCCCTGGATCGGGCCGTCATCTCATATCGGTCGGGGATGTCAGCAACCAATTTAATTTGAAGTGACGGTAGTTGACACCTCTGCTAGCTACCTCTTGGTGTCTAGGCATAATAAATACGTAAAGGCTAGAGTACCGACAATTGTCGGTACTCTAGACTCTGATGTGGTGGCACGCTAGAGGACCGACAAATAAATTGTCGGTACGGGAGATATGCTGTGTTTACACGCTAGAGGACCGACAAATATTGATTTTCGAATTTTCTGGCGCATGCGCAATGCGCGGGGGGATATTTCAGATATCATACGGATATTTCGGGAACAAGTGCAAAACCCGGGGAGGGCATTAGCCCCGGTTACCCGGGGATTACCAAACCCAGTCAAAAAATGGTAGCCCGGGAACGGGGAATGGTAGTAAACGTTGAAAACCCAATAAAAACATGAACAAGTAAGACGTTAGAGAGCTATTAATGCAGAGTAAACGGCTATCTATATTCTAAACAGACAGGATATTTCTCCTGAGCCGATCAGGTGTAGAAAGGGGCGTTTGCTACCCATTAGATAGAAGAAAATAGCTAGAATGTTTTTTATTTGAAGCTTATGGTATGAGGTTCCATATCCATCCGCCAAAAGGTATATAGTCCATTTAAAAACCTGTGGTATCATACTAAATAACCCATAGTTGGCTTCTAGGGTACCTAGTATGCCACTTTTTGGTATCAAAATAAAGAGGAGTTCAACTTTCATTTGAATTACGAAAATATCGATGTAGGTGAAAATAGTTCCGAACGTGAGCATGTTTACTACGCGTTTGCCCGTGATATCAGAATTGAGGAAGTGGTAGCAAACGCAAGTTACAATAAACGGACGCTGATATCTCAAAAAGTAACCTGACTCCCTATAATTTGATGTAGGTCAATCGAACCCCTATATGGACAGGTGCATTTTGATATATAACACTATGGGGGGTAAGCGTTTCATAGTTGGTCACGAACGCCATATGTGCAAAGTATTGTTATGAATTTTCGAATTTGGTGTTGGATTACGGTACTCATACCTTATAGCACAATTTTTGATGGAAGTTGCATTTGGCTCCCTTAGTTAATGGCCACGATTCCATCTCGGATGAGAGAGCTACCAAACGCAAAGTAAACAGTGATATATTCCAAATGAGATATTTCTCCTGTGCCATGGCGTAGTAAGGGTAGAGAGCGACGGGGGCGAAAGCATCCCCTCCCCTAACTGTATATATCGACCATTAGATAGAATAAGAAAAGAGCTTTAAAATGTTTTTTAATTGAAGCTTGTAGGACAATTTTGATGGAAGTTGAATCAATTTTTGTCGAAATAAATTATGGCTCACTACAAGTTAATGCCTGTACGATTCCATACTGCAAAAGAAGCACTATGCCCCCCCCCCTCAAAAGAAAAAAGTAGGTCCTACCGGGATTCGAACTCGGGACCGAGTGTGTTCGGGTCCTGCTCCCTAACCACTAGGCTACCAGTGTTAAGGTTATTTCGAAAGTAAAAGTAGTGGATGTATTTATGAAATTGTCGGCTCTCTAGCAAAAACACGTAGCAGCCACTTGCGTACCGACAATTGTCGGTTCTCTATCTGACACTACTAGGTGACGATAGAGTGCCGACAATTGTCGGTACCCCAGCAAATACCCCTGGACAGTCTCCAGTACCGACAATTGTCGGTCCTGGAGCCACTCCGTAATAAATATACTCAAGGACAAAACACAAAATCTTCGGAAAATTGGAGACCCTATCTGTTGCAAGACTAGAATTTTTTTCATGGCCTGAGTTCGTCGCTTACATGCTAAATATAAGAGTTAGCTGACTTTTGGGAGTCTGACTTACCTTCTAAAGGTTAGAACCCGAATCTTAATGAAACCATATCACCTTTGTTGCGTCGATGATGATGCATAAACACAGCATTTGATAGAAATTAGTGTAAATGCTTTTCCGACTTTTTCTTTTTTCATCAATGTTGACTTCCGGGAAGGCGTTGTAGTTATCACGAAATAACGCATTGACCCTTGAACTTTACTTTGTTGATGTGTCAACCAAGCATGTCTGGTGTGAAAATTAAAAGAATATTAAGCAATGTTCTACATCCGCCAAGCTAAGTGAAGTAGCCAATATTTAAAATTACTAATTTCAAGTGAAGTACGCAACGAACGAAACTGCATGATCTACACTCCCACTATTGGTTTGAACGAAATGCTACGTAGAAATATGAGCCGTCTGCTGTATTAGCCGATTAATAGAGTAAGACCTGTTGGTGATGCTTTATAATTTAGACCAAAACATTGAAGAACAAACGAACCTGTAAATCGTGAAAACAACGAACAAATATTCGGTTTTCACATATGTTCTGTAATTTTTTGTATTGAAACTTCCGGAACTTACAAGGAAATCATTCATTTTCACGGTCCATGATTTACCTCTTGGATGTTGTGGCAAATGCTCCATGGTTGACGGAACAAAGGTGATATGGTTTCATTAAGATTCGGGTTTTAACCTTTAGAAGGTTTGAAAACGTCAGCAAACTCTTATATTTAGCATGTTAGCGACGAACTCAGGCCATGAAAACAATTCTAACGCCTGGCGTAACCGTCACCATGTTATTCAGTGTTTTTAAGTAGCGCAAGGATCCTGCCATGACCGTGGTAATGTTATCGTGAAAGCCTGGTATAACCGCGACAATGCTGTATTATATTGCAATGCCTGCCTACCCCCATAAATGTGGGGTTATTTTGAGGTTTTTTGATATTTCGGACATTTGTTTCTCAAAATAACCCCACAAATTTAAGGCTTTGATTCTTTGCGGTTTTTTCACATGATTTGAAGATTCAAGTTCTGACAATATCGGCAGTTTCCTTGTACCTTTTTCTTCTCTTCTGTGAAGAAGATTCTTTTTCCAATTTAATGAGTGATCGATCAGTCGAAACAATGCTTTATAACTGGAACAATTTGCTGTAATATTTGACTCTCGAAATCTATTCAAATTTTGGCCATTTTCGCGCGTTGCATTTTGGGAGGAATGTGGTAGATGGGAAACTTTAAACAATGCCAAACGAAATCACCTGTCAAATTAATAACAAAATTATTGCTTATGCCTAAGTTCAGGAAAACAAAGGCCGTAGACGTTACAGCGGCCAAACTTGAGGTTGACAGTCCTTTTAATACACCCCGGAAGGTGAAAATCATTTTTCAAAATTTCCCTCCATTTTTACTTTTGGATTTCGTATTTACGCGAAGTTTGTTATTTAGATAAAAAATATCGACTGCGCATGAAATTTGAAAAACTTTTCTAGAAATATCTGCTATCCGTATTAAATCGTCATTACAAGAATGAATACAACACTTAGAGGGCTATATTTGGTAGCATGTTGAAGATTAATGTCTTGTCGATACGAAAAACATAAAAAGTGAGTAAATTCTAATAATATTAGTACAAATTCTATGTGTATGCTATTGTTTAGCAAATCCCCAAAGAATCAAAGCCTTAACTTTGTGGGGTTATTTTGAGTAACAAATGTCCTAAATATTAAAAATCCTCAAAATAACCCCACATTTATAGGGGTATGCCTGCCATGACATTGACAATGTAATATGGTTCTGCAAGGCTTGGCATGACCTTGACAATGTAATATGGTACTGCAAGGCCTGGCATGACCGTGACAATGTAATATAGTTCTGCAAGGCTTGGCATGACCGTGACAATGTAATATGGTACTGCAAGGCCTGGCATGACTGTGACAATGTAATATAGTTCTGCAAGGCTTGGCATGACCGTGACAATGTAATATACTGTAGAACTGCAAGGCCTGGCATGACCGTGACAACCCTTATAAAAAATTCAACCTTGAAAGTCCGAATTTAAACCGTTGCACAATCATTGTACAATCATTGATCCGATCATTTATGCAACCATGCCAACCGTTACGATGCAACCATTACAATTTTGGTTGTAAACTCATTGAAATGTTTCAATCATATGTAACCATTGTAAACGCTTGACAATTTTGGTTGCATTTCTTGCAACCGTTTCAATCGAATGAAACCCTTTAAAACTATGGCAAATTTATCTCAATACAACATAAAATAATTATCTTGCTTTTTAAAAAATATATTTCAAATGTGTATATTTCATGCATACTGTACATGTCAGAATTTAAATGGTTTGATCAAAAAGATATTTAAAGTATTGAAATAGTTAAGTAAACTTGTCTTGTGAATGAAAATATATTGAACCAATTTTCATCTAACTTTGAAGGATGGTGATCTAACTCACATGTATATTATCTAGATAACAGCAATGCTTAGGCATAGCAAATCCCCCTCGCTGTCATGACTATCATTTTTACAAAATCACTTCACTACTTTTTAAGTTATTGCAAAATCATTTGAAAAAAATTTGATTGGGTCAAGTCTTGGATTTTATACTTCACCTTGCAATCATCGCAATTATAAAGGAAGGAAGATGTGTCTGGAAGGAAGAAACCCTTCAATGGGAAAATAATCTGTTTTGATTTGATATTTTTGATTTGATAGAGAAAATGCAATCAGACATTACAGGATGTGTTTTAAATAATTAAGTCGATAAGCATAACTTAAAAAACTCTGATTACAGTTAGACTCAGTCTATCTAGTTTGATTAGAGTCTGCTTTGAAGGATGTGTTTGAAGAAACTTTATTAATCCATTAATCCATAAACAAAACAAAAATAATTCAGCAAGGCAAAACAAACCTTATTATATCAGTTTGATTAGAGTCTGCTATAAAGGAAGCAT